TTTTGCCACGCGTCTCACTTGAAGTTTTGGTAATTTTGACAAATATGCCGTTTTCATAAATGGTTTATAACTCAAAAGTAAACTGTTGTATTTCAGGAATATGTATTTTTTCTTCATCATGTATTATTTTCAATAACCCTACAGGCACCACTTTTTTAGCTAAATCCATCGGGAAACTTTGCCACGCTTAATTTCAAAATAACGGAGATGTTATCAAAATTGAGCAATATTGGCACAAAAACGTTTCTAGATTCATATAAAGAATGCATCATCATACAACACTAATTGGTATATAAACAACATCTACTGACTTGGTCTGATAATGTAATATAAAGATTTTAACTGTTGTGTGTCAACCTTTCTTCTGTATGATTCCATTGGATTACATTATGAAACGTGTACCATATAAAATGATACATGTTTCTAACGTTATGCTGAAAATAATATAATTGACATCACCCATCCTTTCGCATTTTAACATTTTTTCAAGGATAGGGCACTTTAAACGTTTCTTAAAAATATTTTCAATTGTTCAGTAATTAAAATCTTAATATTGCAATATCGGGAAATCTAAATTTTAGGGAAATTTTGGACCACCCTATTATAGGTATATTGAAAATGGACAAGAATGGGTAAATCTTAAAAAACAATCCGATTGGTATTTAGAATCGACAATGGCAACCTGCAAACGGACACATCGATGGACAAATTGTTTTAGAATGCAACTCTACGTGTATAGTGATAGACTCGGCGGGGCGTAGTGGAAGATGACGGGACGTATTGGTCAAATTTGAAGAGATGTGTGGATGATTTAGAAACTGCTGCGTTTGATGCCCAAAAATCAAGACGTAGCGATGGAAAGTTGTAATGGGAGTCCATTCTGAAATTATGGGCGAGAATGGGTAAAAGACTGGCGAGATAACTTGACTTACAGTTGAAAGTTATGAAAATTTGCTTTATCTCACAGCTGGGGACCAAAACGCCGCTAAAACGAGGTACTTTGTACACGAAAACAATGTATCGACTGAAAGGTATTTCTATGAAGCTTTGTACGGAACAAGTTTGAAGAAAAACGGTGAAGTGTGAGACTCACAATCCTTGATTTTCAAACACTGGGGTAGGTTTTAAATTCAAATTAACGGTTTTTCGGGACGGAGTGGTTTCGATACGTCCCGAAGAGATACTACCGCGTGTTTCCGGATTCTCGACTAATTAGCTCATTTTGCTGACTTGAACTTGCTCAGCTGTATTAACAAGAGTCTTATACTGCCAACTGTTAGATGCAGTCAGAGTTTCGGCAATGGATGACGTGATCAGAATTATGTACATCAGTCGAGAGCATGACATTTTTGTTGAAGAGTTAAGGTAACGGTAAAGTCCAAAAAATGGCAGCCATATTTTTTTGATAAAGTCACAAGATTTTGTATCTGTTTTCCTTATAGCCTACGTGAATGCATTTCCTGACTAAAGAGACATGTCAGAGAAAACTTCACATTTAAACGCATTAACTATGAATTAAAAGTGCATGGGTCCCCAAAGCTAGCATGAAGACAGTGAAATGAGGCTAATTTTTGAAAGTTTCAATTCAAGGAGTAGCCTTGCAACAGTCACAGATTTGCAAGAATCCAAAATTTCCACAAATCATCTTACCTTACCAAGGAACATCGAGGGAGCATGAAAATGTGCACTTCTTGCATTGTTAGAAAATTTCCACAAATCATCTTACCTTACCAAGGAACATCAAAGGAGCATGTGTACTTCTTGCATTGTTAGAGTATGATAAAGCTCAAACCACTTCTAGACTTCCTGATTAATCCTCACACAAGTTTTTGTGACTTCACCAATTGGCATGGGTTATCACTAGTATATTTTATCTATGACATTATAATAATCATGATGTATGCATAATTGATGTTTTTTAAATGGTAAACAATGGATACATGAGTGAGGATTACTTTGGACTAGAAAATAGTCCCAGCAAACAAAATGATGGACATGAAATATTTAGAATTTACAATGGTTTGAGCTTTATTATACTCTAACAATGCAAGAAGTACACATTTTCATGCTCCTTTGATGTTCCTTGGTAAGGTAAGATGATTTGTGGAAATTTTGGAGTCTTGCAAATGTGTCTCCATTGTAATCGTACTCCTTGAAATTTTAAAAAGTTATCCTCACTTCACTGTCTCCATGCTAGCTTTAGGGACCCATGCACCTCCAATTCATAGTTTAAAAATGTGTTTAAATGTGAAGTTTTCTTTGACATGTCTCTTTAGTCAGGAAATGCAATTCACATATAAGGAAAACAGAATACAAAATCTCGTGACTTAGTCAAAAAAAATATGGCTGCCATTTTTTGTACTTTTGATTAACTTTACCGTTACTTTAAATGATGCCTGTTTATGAAGAGGTGATCATGTGACCTTCTGCCAAAGCGCTGGCTGCCTGTTTCCAATCCTGTTATACTTATTAGGAAGTAAGTTTCGGAAGAAATGTTGACTCAAGTCCATGCGGGGATTAGCAAATTTTGTGACAATTACTTGAGGCTATTTTACCACTATTGCGAATTGAAACAAAATGTACAATATACAGTATACATGCACTATAGTTGCTTTCTTTTTCCAGATTGGCATAAGAAATGCCATACATACTGTACTGACAGATTTCTACAGATTATGCGAGTGACATCCCCAAAAAATGACAGCTTTGAATTAACATGGTCGTACAATCAACAGATAACGCAGGAATGACAAAACCGAATGGGGTGGTGAATTTTTTTCACCGTATCCTTAGTGCCATATCAGAACATGTATTACAGAATCAAGAGACCCAGACACACCATGGTGAAACACAAATCACAAATATTAAACAAGAATCTGAGAGTGATTTGAAACCAAAAAGCAATAATGATGAGGATAGTTTAGTTGAAACAGGAAAGGCAAATATAAAAATAAAACAGGATACTACCCATTTAAATTTATCCACATTGCCTATTGATGATGAAGAAACATTTGATTACACCTTGCGACAACACATAGACCCAAACACTGTCACATATATTGAACTTCAAAATAGGATCCATTTACCAGCAGTTCCGATTTCTATTGGTTTATTTGATAATTTGATTGTGCTTAATCTAAGGAACAACCATATCAATGATTTACCATGGTCTATAGTTTACTTAAAAAAACTTGAGAGATTTGATATTTCATACAACATGTTAACATCGCTACCAAGGACCATTGGTCACTTAACTTCACTGAAAAGTTTAAACCTGGAAGCAAATCACCTCTCATTTCTCCCAACTGATTTACTAAGGCTTCAGAATCTACAGTGCATCAATCTACTGAAAAATCACAATATACAAATCACATATGGAAATTTACCCAGAGAACTTGATCATGCATCATTGATTATCATGCTTGAAAAGCAAAGGAATAGATCCAACATATGGAGAAATAGCACTCCTTACTACAGACCCCCTGAAAGTAATGATGCGCCTAAGTTTAGTTGTATACCCAAAGATCTCTTGGACATTGCAGTGGATTGTATTTTACAGCACAATGTAGACTATCTGAGCATTCAAACTGTACCAACAAGTGTTAAGAACTTCTTAAATGATAAATATAAAGAAACTGGACATAAGCTTGATCTTTCAAAGTGTAGCAAATGCAATAGATATTTTTCGACTAAATTCAGTTTTGAGACACATCCTTGTTGAAAGGTTTCAGTATTTGTCTGCTATTGAAGATCATGCTACTTTTAGTAAAAATACTAAAAAAAATCTCACATTTTATTTTTTACCTCAAATGTTTCATTATATCAACATCAAGGAAAATAACATGAATGAATTTAATGAAATGGGTACATCATTTGCCATCTCTTCAAGGCCTCATGTATAGTTTAAACCACTTTGGCTTATATCGTAGTCTTATCCAATCAAAATATGATATATGTGAAACTTTTTGTTTTAATTTCAAAAAGAGATTTTGAAGGAATTTGTTTAAAAAATCTTGAATTTATTTAAAACTAACTTTATGCGGTCACACATATCTTTTATGAGTAATAATTCACACCAATGCATGAATGCATAGCATTCAGCTTCAGGAGCCTCACCACCCGCTCGTCGCAACGCAGATTCGCAAGCGATGGCCTGTGTTAACTCCAAGGTCAAGCTGATCTGGTCATCCTCTAAGGTTATTAGAAACAGATTGTTCGTAGAAATTGATCAATTGTATCGTTATATTTCTCATTTAAAACATATTTATAGAAAAATAAGCTTCACAAGTTCAGGGTTTCACTTGAATTTTTTGTGTGATGGAATAATCAGTTTTACAGATGAGGATGACATTGATTCAATGTTTATGTCATAAAATGAGGGACTTATGATGAATTTCAAAACTCAAAATGATATAGTATCACCAGTCAAGGCTCACTTACCTATTTTGATATTTTAGGTAGATGCCCCATTTTACACCACTCCATTCTTTTACTCCACTTTTTTATTTAAGTCACCACCAAAGGTGTAGAAGTGGTGACATTTTATTATAGTCTCCAACTTTTTTGTGGATAGTGTTTGGCGGTGCTGTCATGGCTGTTCAGTGATGTAACAAGTGGCAGAGGGAGACATTTTGCATGTTAATACCTTGTTTAATCATTTGCATAAATATACAAGGGAGTGACATTTTGTCATTTTAATGCCTTGTTCATTATAAAAGTAGACCCTTGGGTGATTACTGACTTGTTGTAACATCACTGCAGAACCTTATGTTCATATGATGGTATATTATTTTTGAAGGGAAAAGTGTATGTAAAGTCAATGGCAATGTCCAACTATATGTGTAAAAATAATGTATTCGGTGTTCTCATTAAGACTGTGATATTATGACATGCACTTCTACATAATTTTAAAATAAATATGCATGGTTATTATATTTTTAAAAAATTATTTATAATATATACCAAACATTAACATGTAAATGTAAATTAGATAATAAATATATATTTTACAAAAAATTACATAATATAAATGGTTGAATGAATTCTCAATTTAAGATTAAAGGTTATACATGTATAAGTACTTTAAAGGTAGGCAGAGTAGATAACTTGGATTGTGTACACATTGTTTATATCTGTACATGACAACCCAATCTACCTAACTTAATAGGTTTAAACTATTTTGTAAAAAAGAGCTATTCTGATATTTTTTAACATTTGTGAGGGTATTGTCCATATTAAAAGTTCATTGGTCCACAGTGGGGTGATAATAACATCAAGATGATGGACAATTAACAATTATTCAGTAAAATCTTCATTCCAAATAGTTCATCTTGCAAACAAATAAAGTTCCAGTTGTAAAAATTACAAAGTAAAGAAATTAAAGTAAACGGCTTCCAAAAGGAGTTTGTACCTCACTAGGAGGCTCTGAATGGAATGCTGTTGCTAGAATAATTATTGGACAAATTCTGTCTACCATTAATATATAATAATACTTTGTTAGTTCTTACATTATTTTATTTCATCAATTTTAATTACAATATTCTTTGTATTTTGAGATCATATTTATTTGCTCCAATTTTGCTGGTGTGATAAGTGAAAGTCCAAACTCCCAATATGAACAGGTTCTCAAATATGGTATTGTCGTTAAGTCCAGGAACCCAGTGTACATCAGGGTATATCAGCTCATGTTTAAATTGGCACCTGCTCCCTTGGTTCACCAGGCATATATTTTACACCATTTCTCAAAATGAAATGGTTTGTTTTCTTGGATTTTTGTATTTCTATACAATTTATAGTGTCAGCGCCATGCCTCATGTCATATATTTAGTCCCTTATCAAATCCAATCGTTTTCACTTTATGCTACATTTCAAAACATAACCAGAGTGATATTCTGTCCTCATAGATCCTAGTCTTCATCAGAAAAAGCCTCTGTCGTTGTAGTACTCACTCCTGTCTGTTGTCTGCTCTGAAGTTTTTCTGAAAATGTATCCAAGATGAGGTGAATTTATGTATGACATGATATCCTGGTGTTTATTGCCAAATGTCAGTGTAAAACATTCAAATGTTAATTAAAGGAATCTTCTAAACCAACATGCAACTTTGTCCACAGGATTTTTTTTTAATTTACAGTTTTGCAAGGTTTTTCTCATGTTCAAGTTTGTGCATATAATTATACCATTCACAATGGCTTGACTTTATCTACACTCTAGAGATACTTTGATCTAGCCACAATCCTATCTACCTATCCTATTGATCTAGCCACAATCTATCCAATCAGAATATGTTGTATAAATGGACATGAAAGCTACTTTGAGATCATCAAATTTTTATTCACAACGAAAAAACAAAAAATATCTGTAGGCCTTATGGTGAAAGAGGCAAGCTGATTCAGTGTATTTACTCACCTGCTCTAGATGGTGGTGCCTTTGTATTGTTTTCAGCATCAGCAGTCTTTTCTCCCTCTTCCCCCTCCTCTTGGTCCTCATCATTCTCTGAGCCAAGAGGTGCAAGTGTCACTGCATTGAACTGACTTAGTGGCTCACCTATTATGCCAATCCTGAAACATGTCATCGTCAGAATGAAAGACATGTGGCAACATTAGAAAGCAAAATCAATTGTTTAAACTCTTGTAAATCACAGCAAGAACTATATTCAATCAAAAATCAATATGAAAAGTCTGGAAATATTTTCAACATGTTATATTCAATTTGAAAATTATTTAACAAATTCACGAAACATGTGGACTGAAATAAAAACTGACTCTGAACTGATGTGGTTGAATAACAAGATGGCAACAAAATAGTAGTAAGGTGCGATAATTATTGTACCGTTCAAAAATCCAAAAAGGATTTACCTGAAGTTTTTTCTACTGAAACCAGGTAAGGCTTTCATGTTTACACTCTCATCTTCTGGATCTTCCCTTGCAACTGTTGCTAAGGACCTGTAAAAATATAAGTACATGTACATGGTAAAACTCTTTGTAAGCACATATAAATCAAGGTTTAAAGGTTGAATTAATTGCAAAGTTAGAACGATGAAATATTTAAGGCCAAAATTTTAAAGAAAGTAGACAACATTTAATTCAATTAGGTCGGTACATCCGACATCCTTAAGACATGCTTGCTTTCTGATCAACATTACCCTACACATCACTACTTACGTTGGGGATAGCGCTCCTTTCCGCCTAAATAACCAATGAGCTTCCTCCTTAGGGGACGGTAGTATTGACACCAATGCAGGTGACCTTTGATTTACAATACTTTTTATTGCGGGGCGCTTAGGGTGTAATCTTCGGTATTCAGCCGGAGTCAATTTCACTTCTTCTTTCTTCTCAACCCCTTCTATCTCTAGAAGAATATAAATTGAGGATGTATATTTGATGAACAACTATCTCTAGAGAACACCTGTGTTAAGTGAACACCACTTCATGACACATTTTACATTGACACCTACCTACAGTGAACACTTTTAGTTGCTCCATAGGTGTTCACTATATACAGGTTTTACTGTATATTTAGTCATTATATGCTACATCATGTACACATTTTGATTTTACAATTTAAGTAGCTGACATGGATGTCAGGATAGTTTAAAACTATTAAGATTTTACCAGCATCAAAACTATACAAGGCATTTACATTCAAAATGCCATTGTTAAAGATGCCAAACACCAAGCACCGAACACTGTCCACAAAAAAGCTGTAGGCTATAATTATATGTCCCCACTTTGGTGTTGACATGAAAATCATGTGTGGAGGGACTGTCTGATGAAAATTTGGATAAAGCCAAGATGGTTCTTTTAATACTTATAGGAGAATATCATACCTTCTGGGGCATTCTTTACTCTTATTGCAGGGTTGAATGTGTCAGATCTCAGTATTCGCCCAAGTTCTTTTTTTGTGTCCTCAAAGTTTTTCCTTTTAAAACCAATCCATACCACAAATGTGCAGTATGAGTAAAGTGTCTGAAACAAAATACATGCATAAATTTAACAACAATTTTCTGAATTCATTTTTTCCATTTATTTCCAAGGAAGAAATAGTTTTGCTGGTTTGTTTATCTAGTTAATAATCAAGAAGTGTTTTTTTCTTTTTTAAATGGTATCCATTGTGTTTTATAGATTACAAAACAGTCACTTCATCTAGTGTATACATAATGTAATGTTACAATAGAATGCAGAGCATATACAACATTGCGGGTTACACAGCCTCCACGATCTCAGTATGTGAGCTCACAAGATACATACAACATAATACAATGAGATGCAGTAAATACAATTTACATTACAATACAATACATATATTGCACCATGACCTCGATTATATTCAACTTTTTTTACTCTTGCATCAATACCTTGTGGCTTGCATACACCCCCTCTCAACCTAGCATACGAGGACTATGAAAATATACAATAAGAAATCATAGACTAGATGCAAGACCAAATTTGTTTTCAATACATCCTCACCTCATACATGCCTCTGTCCTTATAAGTGGATGAAACCCTTGACTGTCCACATCCCATGTGATGCTGCTGGTCAAGACCTAGGCCCAGGATCAACACACAATATGACTGCCCAAGTAGCTTCTGTCCTATCTCCAATGTTTCACATGCATCTATGATTGCTTGTTTCTCTGCTTGGCTCTTTTCTCTGAAACAAGTAGGCTCAATTGGTAACAATAGGAAAAGCCAAATAATTAATGTTTAACATACAAAAGTTACAAATAAAACAATTCAGTGCAATACAAGTAGTTTCCCTTTCACCTTTAGTTTATAGGATATTTGTCATTTTCATTATAAAGAAGTTGAAGATTGGGGGTCTGAGCTTCATTAAATTAGTTCCATAGTCTAAAACATTTGTGTTTCCATAATGACTTACTAATATCAGTGTTATTTCAAATTATACTTACAAAATAAACCCTGATGGTTGCTCTTCTAGTTGCTTTTTCTCAAAAAAACATTTGAAGTAACATAATAAATGTTTCAGGAAGTCATCAAAGGCCTCAGACCTGAAAGAATATTATCATATGACATACTAACCTCTGGTATTTTTTTTTTATATCATAACTTTATTTCCATATATCAAATAATAATAATACATACATATGAGCGGCTTTGTTAAAAAACATTATAAGCCAACCTCTGGTATTATTAGTGATATAAGAATATATTTTTATATACTATGGGCCGATTCAGAATTTATTTCTCATTCTATTTTCTGAAGGACAATATCCATTTTTTGACTTTTTTTAACACAAATAAATTGTACTTGAAAAAGTTCATATACTTACGAATACATGCCCTTGAACACATTGGGAATCTCTTCTATTTCACACAGCATGTCAAGTGCAACAGCTGCAAGAATAATGAAATCAAATAACATTAATTCGCAAATATGTTTTGGGTATGGGTATGGGAATGTTTTGACTAGATAGTTGAAAGCCCATGCTCATACTAACACAACCAAACTGTGATATCAATAAACCCAACTAACCAGAAAACCCTGTCTAGAAAGAACAAGAAATAAAAAAACAAATATTGAGGGAACTTACATTTTACATCATCTAATGTCACATGTTTATGTTCTTCGGACTGTTTGATAGTTTGTCTCTGGCCGGGTGACCTGCTGCCTCTGATATGCTGAGCTTGACCACGCCCTTTACCATAACTACGCCCTCCAACACTCGATGGAGCTCTAAAATTGTAATATCAAAACAGATGTGATTTTTTTTATTTGTGAATGTGAGGCAATTCTTAGTCTTGCCACAAGTCTGGCTGGTTTATAAGATAAGAGTAGAATAAATGCATGCATAACAACATCAGAAATATTTTAAATACAGTAAGTGCTGTTATGAAAACAAAGTTTAGCATAATTTGATAGTAATTGAAACATAATGATAAAGTGTAGAAAATGACACATTGAATCCATTGTATGATGATGTTTAAAATCCAAGTGATGTTGGTCGAGTGAACTAATACACCGACGGAAAGATGTCTCAAATATTGATTAGAAAATTAATTGGGAGATGAAAATCTCAGAAATTGAATAATAACCCCTTTAAAATATCAACAAAAAGCTATGTGTATTCTACCTGTTATTTCCTTTGACAATTGCATCCTGAAAATGCAAGCCTTTTTGTTTCTTCTTTTTGTCTGATTTATCCCCACCTGTATTGCTGAAATATAAATGTGCATAAATAGTTTTTTTGAATGAGTTGTTGTGACATTATAAATTCTCCAAAATATTAAAGAAAAAGAAGAGGTTCCGGCGGGGATCGAACCCGCGACCCTGTGCGTGTAAAGCACATGTGATAACCACTACACCACGGAACCAACTTAAATCTTTTGCCAAGATTTCTGGTACTTATTTGCTAGCAATACAAAATGATAAAAATCATACTTTAATAACAATACCTTGTGTACTCAAGAGAGTTTGATTCATCTTTCCAAATCCATCTTCCGTTTAATGGCATATGTCCCTGAAAATAAGATGAAAATGGATTTCGTAGAGTTTTTTCCAAATCATTTGCACACCTTGTATTCCAATTGAAGATAGAATTACGAGAGCCCAACATACTAACCTGATCACTTTCCTTTATAACTTTCGTCATAGCTAATATTTCACTTTAAATGTAAGAATAAAGGTATGAAAACACATAAGATATACAATATTTATTAGTTTTTAGAAATTTTGTCCGCCATGTTGTTTTTCATTCCCTGGTGATGCTTCGCGGAGCCGGTTAAGGTTCGTTCAGTAAACACTAAGCGAAACGATTATTTGATTATATAGAAACGTTAATTCCCGGGAACTTCAATTATATTTGTATCAGACATTTGTTCAGATGTTTTATTTCTCATTAGAATGACTTAAGGATTTAGCATTGTTGACTGAATCATTCCTCGGAAGGTGCTATTTTAAAATCTGTGCATGATTGACTGTGTAGTTAGTGAAATCCTGGGGAGTTCACTTTAGGGCCCCACTTTATAAACCTTGACGGCTCGGCGCACATAGGGCCCACATGGGGTACCTTTTTTTGACATTTGGTATGGCAATGGACCCAAATTTTAGGATCTGGTATGAATAACATGCCCCCACATTATGACTTTTGAGGTATGGCAATGGTCACATTTTTCCACTTTCTGTATGGAAAATATGTTTACACTCCCCTCCATAAGTTTGGCAACCTTAGCTCCCCCATTGAACTACGTGTTAAAGCCTCTTTACCTTTGAATTTTTATTTACTTAACCTGCGATGAAAATACTTATACTATTCATGAAAACGAAATTTGACTTTATTTGCAATACCTCCAAATTTTTTCAATTTTTTCCTCAATTACAACACGGACTTTAAGGTCCGTGATTACAATAAGTCGAAAATTGATGATAATTTGATGTATATTTGAAAATCGACAGTTCCCATGTTAACCAATGGGAAATTGTAGGTTTGCCGCAAGTCATATGACAGAATATCCATCCATCCGAGTCCTTGCAAAAATACGAGTTAGACAGGCAATTGAATTTGCTAACTTTATTTAACAAAAAATTGATATCTTTCTTCAGGTTCAACAAAGTTATAGGGCTTTAAAGTCAAAATTGTTTTTCAAAAAACCTCTCCCATTGAAATAACACAGGAGGCGAAAAATTATTACATCAAAATTTGACTGTGACATATTGGTATTGGAATATATTGATACATGAGGGTTCAGCCTACGACCCCGCCGAAATTTGGCAGCGGTGAACCACCCGAGTATTGAAATACTATGTTCGGATTCAAGCTGGAATCGGACACACCTTGCCAGCTATGTGTGAAATTAATGCGGCTAAAGAATGGGTATGGTCATTCCAGTTTCTCCACGTTACATTATATATTTCTATTTCTTGAATCCATCTTGATTCACAAGGTTTCAGTTGCTCCAACTTCACACACAGTCATAATATTGTTTGGGTAAAAAGCAAATTTTTGATTTGCTTTAACATTGAACCAAGAAAAAATAACTCACATAGAAAAAAGCATTTCAGTTCAGACATCATTAGACATGCATGCACATGTACAAAGTGCATGTTATGAATAAATGTTCATTTAAAAATAAATGTATATATATAAATGAATGTATCATAATACAAATAAAACAACTTTGCCATCCGAGTTTCAAAGACATTGTTAAAAACTATTTGATATATAAAGCTTGACAGATCGAAAATGTTTTTTGATAATTTATTGTAAACTTTGATGTGGTCCGTTTTTATCTATTTTGGGGGTTTTGTTTTAATTTTTTGCATACTCCTTGTTAAATCTACCAAAATTTCCTTTATATAAATATAATATTGAGAGGTCTAAGAAGATGTTGTATATTCTATTTGTTCCAACAAGGTTCGGAAAGACATTTCATTCTCAACAATTGGTAGAAAGGAACAAGAAACAATTGCATTAAAAAACAAAAAATGTTAACAAAAACAGTTATATAAAATATGTATAAATAATTTTTGCATTAAATTGTTGCCAATCAATCAACATTACATAAAGGACCGTGTTTTTACAGAATGTTTTCAATAATTGGTTTAAGAGAAAAACATTGTTGAATTCCGTTCACCATATCGATACCTATCCTTTATGAATAAAATAGGCATTGCCATGCATATGGAGTGCTTTATTTGTCAATGTGTTATGTTTTAAGTTATAAAATAAGCTGTGACATAAATCTTATGTGACAGAATTGAAAGCATTCAATATGATAATGCTGTTTTGTGTATGGACATGATGAAATTAAAGATATTCATTAAACTGTATAATGGTATATAATAATAATGAAGTACATTTTCGATGGCATCGAATTCGTGGTAAAGTGTACTATTTAAATATTTGATGCCATTTTCCAAACTGGTCCTGTATCGATAAATCGTTTTTGAAACTTAAACTTTTGTGTTCTATAAAGGATAGATTTATAAGTGTAACAATGAAGGCTTGTTGATGTTTCACACATACTCCTTGTTTTGTCATAAAACCCAGAGAGTTGGCGTTTACCAAAATGTTCACGAGGTAATTTATTATGCTCTGAAGTATTGCTCAAAGTGTTACATCACATTACAAGCTTCTTCCTTTGGAGTTTCAATTCCCATCTTTTTCTCCCATGTTGCTTTACAAAGGTACCCCAGGTAGAACCATGGGTTCGACCGCCCTCTTGTGGTACCTCCTTTATCTGTTTCTTTCCCGGGGTTCTCTAGTGTGTACAACTGAACAGGAACTTTAGGTTTCTCATCTTCAGTGTGTAACATGGCAAAGAGGATCTGTTGGTCGCTGTTAGACAGGCCCATTTCCAAGAATTTCTGAACATATCGGCGGTATTCTTTTATCCACTCAAGCATAACCGGGCCTGTTGCCAAGAAATAACCACCCCCTATCCATGTGCGATTTTCTGAAATTGTATTTTTGAAGTGGTTTTACATAATATTTTATTGCAACATTTGTTATTCACTTCTCATTCTGAGTTCAAATAAACCCATTTAACGTTTAACCTTTAAGTTTTACGAATTGGTTGTGACAGATTGCGCTTTGGTAGCCATTATTGTATTTCCCTCTCTCTATATATATTACTACTATATGTACACAACAGATCCACATCCTCCGAACACAGGCCTCCAGAACTCGTACCTCCTTCTTCTTTGGAAAAAGGAAGGAACTTTGTGGATGATGTCTGGAACCCTGCGTTCGGAGGATGCAGATCCATGGTTCAAATGTAAAACTTGGTTTGATTATAAAGCTGTAATTCCATGTTTTGTAGCCAACAACTTAATATTTTAAAGTTAATTTACAATCGTTTATGGAATTTGATTGTGCCTCAAAGTTATGAATTGCTTTTAGGCAAATTAATTTGGCACTTTTTTTTTTAATTATATACATGTAAAAGTAATATTCCATGAATTTTTCTTTTACAACATGTGTTGATATATTGAATGCTGTAATTATTAAACGTTTAAAAATGATTTCCAAAATATTACTATGCTTACCCTTGAACACTTTCTCTGTTGTAATAAATGGAGACTTGGCTTCCTCCGGCCAAACAACACAATATGCCACTTTTGTTGGGTCAAAATCAGCAGGGACCATCAACTTGAAATTCTTTCTTTTTGCAAGTTTCTCGGGATTTGTAGCTAGGTCCCTAAAGTATCCAACATCCAACCATGCGTAGTATTTTGTATTGAAAAAATTATTTTCGATTGCATCTTCAAGCACGTCATATTTTGCATGCATGCAACAAGTGTATTCAGCAATTGTGTTCGGATGAAAATGTGGATAATCTGGATTACCATAAATTTTCTCCACCGCTGGTTGTTTAGTAAAAGACCATAATTTTGACCTGTCAGATTGTATTACTTTTGTAGCTGTCGAAAGCATGGATTTGCGATAATCTTTAAATTCATGTTCTAGTTCATCTGTCTCGCAGTACATTACAGTCGGGTTGGCAATTTTTCCGAATACTGGCATCCATGAGTCATATAATTTTTTACTCAGTTTAGGCACATATTTTCCCTTTTCTTTCCCTTTTTGAAAGCAGCCAAGGTTTAGATACATTGTTACTAGTGTTATATCATCCCTGAATGTGCGATGTTTTGTGTCTGATGTCATGGTGATAGAGCTACTCTCCCCGAGTTATTGATTGTGTCTGTGTCAGTCACTTAAGACAAACTCATCAGTTGTGATTTTGACTGGTTGTGCCCCCGGCCAAAAATTGTTTATATTGTGATACAGGTAAACTTGTTCACACAAGTGAATATACCGGGTAAAACCCAGTGCAAATATTTCAGGTTGTTGGATTGTAATTTATTGATTCGAAATTGAACTTTGCTCCAGATAAGTACAGTATGAGAGTACACCGACTTACATCTTATAGTACATCAAGTATATCAGGATTCAAGCTGATAGCCTATAAATCCTTTATCACATTCACATCACAACAAATGTTTCATATGGAATACAAACATACTTATATCAAATTTCTTGATCACTATATACTATATATGTAGTCCTGGTGCAGGACAAATATCAAATATGATGATTCACAATCAATGATTGTGCGTTGAATTGTGATTAAGTGATTTCGTTTCACAAATAATTATAAATAGTTGCTCATTTAGTGAGTCAAATTATTTTGACTCCCACACTACCTAAATAGTACATCTTTAGATGAATATTATCTCAATATGACCATAAACTGGGGAAATTGTTTGGTTATATATTAATTGATATATGCAAATATTGTATAGAAATAATAATAATATTTTTGGTCAGCAATGAATTTAGATAAACGTACGTTACCAAAATGTTTTTTCCAGCATGCGGTAACTATAAACAACATGGCGGAAGACACTAAGGAAAATGCAGGTACGTTTGCCACTATATCTACAAATTATAACAGTTTATTAGACATATTACTACATACATTTGATTGAGATGTGTTGTGGATGTCTTTGATGGAAATTAAAAGCCTGCAAATAGCCATTTATCCAGCTTATTTTCAACCCCAAGATTTCTACAGAGGATTTAAAAAGAGCAAGTGTTGACAGACAGAGGTTTTAAAACTTGCCACTATTTTGGACTGACTGAGTGACAGATGGACAAATCAATGTTAAGTAAAATAGCTGAAAATAAAAAAACTGATATAATTTTTTGGCAATGATTTGTAACATAATTATTCAATACTACTACATGGCTTTTTACAATGCAGGACACCTGAAATTATTTGTAAAGCTAGGAAATGGGCCAAAATTGAATAAAGCAACAAAAATGGCAACCATTTTGAAAATAGGCAAGCTTTTGAGCCAGGAGTCAGAAGGGAATTTTTTGTATTGATGTTGAACAAAAATAACTTAAAACTGGAATCATTTCGACAGAGATTTAAGGAAAATGGTCCAAAAGAGGATTTCGCGAGACAGATCAACACATCAATGTTATTAAAATGGCTGAAAATAAAAAACGGCTATAATTTTTTGCCGATTTTGTAACAGAATTATTTCATACAACTACTCTTTACAGTGACATGGTTTTTTACAATGCAGGACACCTGAAATTATGTGTAAAGCTAGGAAATGGGTCAAAAGTGAGACAAAAATGGCAGCCATTTTGAAAATAGGCGAGTTTTGAACCAGGAGTCATATGGGAGTTTTCTGTATTGATGTTGAACAGAATACACTTAAAACAGGAATCCTATCGAAAGAGGTTTAAAAACATGCCACTATTGTTGACGGACAGACGGACGGACAGACAGATAGACAGACAAGTGAGTGATTGCAAGAGCTCACCATGTGAGCTAAAAACATTGTTGAATTCAGTTCACCATATCGATACCTATCCTTTATTTAAACTACATGCTTTCAGAGTCCCTGTTAGCTGACATACAGAAGAAGGTCACTGATGCATTCGATATTTTTGATCATGAATCTAACAAAACTGTAGATGTAAGAGAAGTAGGAACAATCATCAGATCTTTAGGATGTTGCCCAAGTGAAGCAGAGCTGCATGACATGTTATCAGAAGTAAGAATGCATGTTGTTATCTTCCATTCTCTCTCAAACATACATGGTGTGTAGGAGGATTAGTCTAGCAATATAGAGTAATCTACATCAAGCTGACACTTTAAATGTAATTTCATGAAGAGGTAAACAGTATTTGTAACCACTCGATCCATTAGAAAATATTTCATGTATAAATCAATGATTGACATTAAATAAACCAATAAATTAAACATGAGGAACAAGAAATAAATTTATAGTGCATTTCAAGGATTCATTTAATTTTAAATTATATTTTGTTCTTTGTTCACTGAACCATATATGTATTTCAGATTGAAGAGGAAGAACCTACAGGCTATATACGTTTTGAGAAGTTTCTTCCAATGATGACACATGTTCTGATGGAGAGAAGGTTTGTACTTCTGGTACATAAATTACATTTGCATTGTGTCTTTGTAGCACACATCAGTAATGATGAGTAACGAGGCTCATTAGATCAATACTGAATTGATCTTTATTTCCAGTCCCATTGAGTGTAAATGATTTATCTCATAATTAAAAAACAAACCGAGTTTATTTTCAAGACCATTGTATAGCATATAGTATATGTTTGTTGTTATAATTAGTTTAAAAGTTGTTTTTATATTTAGGTACAAACCATGCCCTGAAGATCACCTACTTAGAGCATTCCAAGTGTTAGACCAAGGAGCTAAGGGATTTTTAACACAAGAAGAACTAGTAAAATATATGACAGAAGAAGGTAAGAATACCTTGAATAAATTGAATAAAGAATAGCAATATAGCTGAAAGTGTTATAAATACAATGTAGTTAAGCATTTGTATGGAAGTCAATGGGAATGTAAGCAGACTATAAGCAACGATTTTGCCCGCTTACACTGATATTGCCCGCTTTATTTAATAACCATGACAATATCATGACATACTATTTCATTTCCATCAAATTCTACTCGCACACAGATGTGTGATGTCATTGATACAAAGTAGCCATGGGAATAATATATAATACATCAGTTATGTCACTATGATGTGAAATATTCCTTTTGTGTTTGCCCAAGTATAGAGCCTCCCATGGTCAGCCTACATTGGGAGAACTCAGGCATATTTCACGTAATAGTGACACAACCTCTAAATATTTTGGGTCAGGCAAAACAAAAGGAGTTCCACCTCTATTGTAGGAATAAATATGTACTTTTGCTTCCTTAACTCATATTACATGCTGCATGAACTGAAACTTGATTCTATAACACTTATCCTTTCATTCCAGGTGAAAGTTTTACTCAAGAGGAAATGGAGGAAATGCTAAGTGCAGCAGTGGACCCAGAGAAGAACCAAGTACTTTACAAGGAATATTGTTCACTAATGTTACCAGAAGAGGCATAGGAAAGTACATATGCACTGTATATGATTGTTTGAGCAATCATTTTGTCAGCAAACCATTGATAAAATGTCATGATGGTGATGCTTTAAAGTGTGGAAATGACATTGGCAAGGAATACATGGAGATTAAATGGTATCTATAGGATTTAAGGACATAGCATAATTTGGAAGAACAATTGAAAGCTTATTTTTCCAAAACTATAAACCTTAATTAAAGTTTATAAAGGATTTTTTTTGCCAGAGCAGGGTGACAATATAACTCAAAACTTTTAATTGATAAGCAGCGTGGTTTCACCTTCAATCTTTCCATGGGCTTTCAATTAGTTGAAAGCCCATGATCTTTCCAAAAGAATAAATAAGCCAAAAAATATTTGTAATATGAAAATAACAATTATTTGTATATTTAATAATGAATTAATGTACATATGTTCATTATGTATAATTTTGTAAATAAATTATATATACTCGACAAAATGGTCAACCAATGTCTTGTCAGATAAAGATTTGTTAATGCTAGACCAACTATTTTAAGTCACTTTTGAAATTATTCATTCAGTTCAGTTTTCCAATAATTGTCCCTCATTTATTTTAATTAGACAGATTTATCCTCATCATTTTGGTTGGTGGATCACATTTTTCAATGCTAGTAGCATATTTTCAGTTCGAATATTGCATATTATATGTCTGCCCTATGTATGACTCTCATTGTCAATGTCATTGATGATATAAAGTCTTCATTGTGAGGATTTGTTGGAAATATTCTCATAGCTTTGAATACACTGCTTGCTGTTTGGTCATGAATGCCTCTGCCGCTTTAGCCAAGTCTTCACTTTGTAACATTGCCATGTTGTACTGGGCCTAAAATGAACACAAAATACATACAGTTGTAAACATTTGGAGGAAAGATTTGGAGGAAGTTGTAAAGGTTAATTGAATTTGATTTGTTAAATGAGAAGAATATCTTTTGAAATGAATATTTAGGTCTCTCATGATACATTTTAAATCCTCCAATAACAATACTAAAGTATTGATACAGCGAAAACATGGTTTCCATAATAGGCAGGAGATCAATATTTGGTTTTCTATCTCATATACAATTTTAGGGGATTTTCCCTCATATGTAACTCGTAAAGCTTAGATGAAACTAGAGATGTTTTGCACAAGAAAAGAACATTAATATTATTGTCAATACAATATTGTACAGTGGAGGAAATCAGTTCATTACTTTTCCCGGCCCTTCGTCAGTTATAGTTTGGAATAAACAATTTCTTCCTTGGTCAGAAATCCCTCAACTGCTTTTGTAATATCTTCACTTTGAAACATTGCCATATTGTACATAGCCTGAAAGGGAACAATACCCTGGTCCCAATTGGCTGGTGATTGTATAGTGTGGATGTTGATAAGATCTTAGCAATTTTAAATGTAGCTTTCAGTGCCTTTTTGGGAGTTTTAATTTGAAGTGGGTTTTAGCTACATTTATAAGCATTTTCTGACATGTATTTTGATTGGATATCATAGAGGCTAGATCATTGGAAGCCCATGGCTAGATCAAGGAATTATCTCATATTTAAATTCAGGGTGTTCAAAAAATGCAACCGAAGAAATCACCTATGTCTTGGGAATTACTGCTGAACCATATGTTCATTTTTTCAGGAAAGAAAGAAGAGACCTTAAATGTATAGCTCCTGTAATTAGTTGAAAAGGCCTAGGACACCTGTAATTTGTAATAGAGAAATACTTCAAAACACAGTCATCGGGCTAGTTCAGGCAGATTTTAGAAGGCATTTCGACCATGACTGTTATTTTAATGAACTCTACAGACTTATCACACATTGAGTGAAAATAAGTTCCTTTAAAGGGTGACACATATCGTTTAGCAAATCGAACGTTCATTTCTGGTGTTGCTCACCGTTTAGTATAAAAGGCCCGATCCCGGAATAATACTCAGAACTCCCCTTATTTCTTAAAAATGGACTGATCCAGTTGATTCGCCTGGAGCCGCCATATTGTTTTTATACGGGAAGCTTATCGGAACCCTTTAAACTGCCAAAACAATATGGTTAGAAAGTTGTTTGGTTTAATGCAGTTGCATTTTTTTAACATCCCTGACTGCGATAGCAATTTCTTTCAGTTGTGTTTTTTAAAACACTGTAGTATAAATTGAAGTTGACCTCTTGCAAGGAGGAGAACTGTATGTACATGATACTGTTTACCCCTCCAGAAGGAGACTGGGTAAAATGTAAATGGTATGGCATTGGTTAACGGACCCTCTCTGTAGGAAAAACCTGTGAACAGGGAACAAGGAACACTATTTTGGGGCAAATTATAAATATTCACCTGTGAACAAGGAATATGGAATATTGGTGACACTATATATTCCATTATAAAGTCCTAAGCCAATATCTGATCCTAAAAAGCTTGGATTAATATGATTGAGATTAAGATAAGCCAATTGTTTACAGTATGTAGCATCCCACCTACTGTTAATTACCAAGATATATTAACCTAATTACATCAAATCAGTTGTGATAATCTAGGGACTCGGGGACTGACAATTGTTTTAAGGGGATGACAGATAAGTACATGTGTCATGTTGAGCCAAATCTCTTTAAATCTTTTACTGATCCAAACTTCTAGATTATCAATGATATAAAATGGGGTTGATGAAACTTGAAATTCAGTTCTTAGCAACACATCTCTACACATCATATCAAAAATTACATCAACTAGACATCATCAGATGCCAGCAGCAGCAGCTAAAATCAACATAGGGAGAACACTCCTTACCCTCGGCCAATGGAGGGAGGCGGGAGACCTTCATACATCTTCCAAGATGTCACTACAAGGTCTAGCAACCAAGCATGGAGTCGGCATTGGTACAATCAATCAATACCCATATACTTGTATATACAAATATGATTATTCGGCAAGTTCGAGTTTGCTGAAATTGTGGCCCCTCTCTATAGGGAAAACCTCTGAACAAGGAAACTTTCCTCCAGTCCTAAGAGCATTCCCTGTTCGCAGGTTTTACTGTAGTAAACAAAAGGACCCAAAGCCCAACATCAACCAATAAAAATGATTATAAAAGGCCAAACCACAGAAGAAAAAAACTTATACTTTACTTACCACATGGTCAAGACCTTCCTGTACACTGTGGTCTCTAGAGTAAACCATGCTGATTTTAGACCCTTGTACAGCAACTGGGCTCTTTGTGGCAATAAGGGCAGCCAAATCAAGGGCTCCCTGGATCATTTCTTCCCTGCTGTTGAACAGTCGGCTACAATGCAATTACATTTATAACTTAGTGATATGTTTGGGTCGAACCTGTCAAAATATTCATTAACCATACAATATATATATGTTGATCCAGAGTTAAAAACAAGGCACAGACGTGAACAATATCGTACCTAAAACACAGCAGTGTGACAGTGAAGAATTTAGGACGGAAAATCCAAAATTGCCACCTTAAAATTTACCCAGAATGCCCAAAAACTAATCAGTTCTTAACTTTGATACGTAGAAACATCCCTGAAAATTTCAGATGAATCCATCAAATGGTTTGGCTGGAAACCTGTAGACAAGTCTTGAAAGTGAAGATTTTAGGACGGAAAATCCAAAATGGCCACCTTAAAATTAACCCAGAATGCCCAAAAACTAATCAGTTGTTAACTTTGATATGTAGAAACATCCCTGTAAATTTCAAATGAATCCGTCAAATGGTTTGGCTGGAAACCTGTAGACAAGTCTTGAAAGTGAAGATTTTAGGACGGAAAATCCAAAATGGCCACCTTAAATTTTACCCAGAATGCCAAAAAACTAATCAGTTGTTAACTTTGATATGTAGAAACATCCCTGAAAATTTCAGATGAATCCGTCAAATGGTTTGGCTGGAAACCTGTAGACAAGTCTTGAAAGTGAAGATTTTAGGACAGAAAATCCAAAATGGCCACCTTAAAATTTACCCAGAATGCCCAAAAACTAATCAATTCTTAACTTTGATACGTAGAAACATCCCTGAAAATTTCAGATGAGTCTGTCAAATGGTTTGGCTGGAAACCTGTAGATAAGTCTTGAAAGTGAAGATTTTAGGACTGAAAATCCAAAATGACCACCTTAAAATTTACCCAGAATGCCCAAAAACTAATCAGTTCTTAACTTTGATACGTAGAAACATCCCTGAAAATTTCAGATGAATCCGTCAAATGGTTTGGCTGGAAACCTGTAGACAAGTCTTGAAAGTGAAGATTTTAGGACGGAAAATCCAAAATGGCCACCTTAAAATTTACCCAGAATGCCCAAAAACTAATCAGTTCTTAACTTTGATACGTAGAAACATTCCTGAAAATTTCAGATGAATCTGTCAAATGGTTTGGCTGGAAACCTGTAGACAAGCTGAAAAGTGAGACGCCGTACGATAAAAAGCATGGCCAAATTTGCATAATAGAATGAAAGAATTTTAGAATGTTCCAAATATGTAACTGTAACTGTTGAATACCAACCTCACTAAGCCGCATTCCTTTGCCTCATCAGACATCATTTTTCTGGCTGTGTATGCAAGTTCTCTAGCTAAGCTGTCACTGCCAACCACCTTAGGCAACCTCTGTAAGGTCCCTACATCTGCAGCTAAACCAACATCTACCTCCTAAAAAGTAATTCAAACATTTAGCTAGGGCTTATAACAATCAGAACGTGGAAATTAGAAAATGCACAACAAATAAAATGTGAAATTCTGGGTCTTACTTCTGAGCAAATATATCACATCAAAACATCAGTGCAAAATTTAATTCATTTAAATTAAACCACAAGATCATTGGCCACCAGAGGTAAAAAATAAAGCAAAACTGTAATTTACTCCCTCTCACCCCCAATGTGTAGTTGAATGTACAATTGTTTTATAATGCTCTCAAAATGTGAATTCCTACCTTTACTTGAAACCATGCATCTCTTGTACAATATCTGATATCACAAGCTGTAATCATGTCTATCCCCCCTCCCACACATGCATTGTGGACTGCAGCTATAACTGGCTTGGGGCACTGGAATAACAACATTTATAGGTTCTAACATACATTCACAATTTATATTGTAGATCATTTGATTTTCTGTTTCTGTTGATTTTTTGTTGCCGTGTAAGATACTTTTGGGATGCTGTAGGCTTTTCATATTATCATATTATTTGGTGAGTATTTCAATTTGGTAATCTGACTGCGAAATTAAATAAATAATGAGTAGATGCCATCAGAATTCAATACACATGGATATAATAATTCAATCAGGAATGCTTTCATTTAGAATGACTATACTGCTAAAGTGTTACAGTTACAGGGCATGTAGACACTGACAGGGACTTTGTCACTTTTGCACAAATATAAAGATAAATGCAGTACTAGTACAGTGTAGTAAAACCACCTGGAACACCTTTGGTACCTCTTGGGAGGTGTTCCACTCATGGAGGTTCATTTTAATCATTTAATATGTAGTCGGTTGGTCTTGGGACTCTAAAAAGTGTTCGACCAATAGAGGTGTTCAACTTGTAGAGGTGTTCTACTTTACAGGTTTCACTGTATTTGATTTACCATGACCAATTAGATCAATGGTGTCCATGTTAAATTCAGCTTAATACTATATGTTTACTCTCTCAATTTGCATAATGATAACTACAACACAACTTTCTATTTTTGTCAAAAAACATTACTTACCTTTTCAATGACTGTAAATGTGTTTTGGAATCTGCTGATCATTGGTCTAAGTTTGCTGGCTCTTCTTGCTATGTCTGACCCATCATCTATCATGCCTGCTGAACCAGCTAGGTCCATCAGATCAATACCTACAATATGAGCCCACACACTTTAATGTATGATAAGAAATATTGATGAACAGGGGTGCATTTCAAGCATTCTTAAATTCATGAATTTATCAGACTGTTGTTCTTTTGTCTATTGTAATTATGACATCATGATTTCTACGGCTAGAACAAAAAATAGTTTTTTTGTTTATTTTATTATGTATGTTAAATAATAAAAAACTGCCACCAATGTTTTTCACTTTTGGCAGTCACTACATGTGTAAAAAAAAAAGACTTGAATCTTCAAAGCTAAGCGTGTAACATAAAGGCATCCCTGTTAGGATATACATTTTATTGTTAGGATTGAAACTAGAATTAGAGATCTAATAGACCCATATACTAGGGCAGAATATTTTCTGATAAACAAAATAAAAATATCAGTAAAATGAACTTGTTTTTCTTTGACATATTGTATCGTATCTCATACTTGAGTGGGTTTGGGGTAGATATCACCCGGGAAATTTTTCATATAATTGTTCTTATTTCGTGCAGTGTAATGATGCATTGTGGGACCTCTTCAAATTAAAATTAAAAATAAATCTGAAAAGACAAGTGAAATTCTGTAAAACCATGGATAATAGACACGAAAGTGACACTAATTTGAGTGAAGAAGGAGTTACCAACCTAAGATTCGAAAACCAAATCTATGTTGACGATTTTCTATCTCACCTACTGAAAACCCACCCAAGTATGAGATACACCAGTTATGTCGATCGGTTTTGGATATAGGCCTAGGGTATATCCCTCAGAGAGATATAAATATATCCCTCAGGATCTATATCCAAAACCTCCCAGTACATAACCCTTATATATACATGAAGGTATTTTCATAATGATACCCCTCAGATGTATTGCTAGTAGGTATTATTTTGAAAGTACAGTATATTCAAAATAATGCCCATGGGTGTTTATTTTGAGAACATGTATTTGAAATTAGGCCAGATTCAGATTAATGCACAGGGCATCATTATGAGAAACCCTGGTAGATGCAACAGGGGAATTAAAATACCTCACAATACTTCCTCCCATTCCAAAGTGCATCCTAGACGAGTTCTTGTTTTTATATTTACATACATACCTGCTGTAAATATTTTTCCTGCTCCTGACAGAACAACAGCCCGACAGTCAGAGTCTTGGGCTATCTGCTCAAAGCATTCCACCATCTCCCTAAAATACAAAAACAATTTGGGAAAAAGTGAAAAAATTTTATTTGGGAAGGGAGATGAGGTTCATACAATGTTGAAATCAATTTTGTCTCTGTCTGATATTTGGACATTTGGACTTCACCCCTAACAACGACTTAATTCCCTTGGTCATTCCAAAATCGAAGTCAATCCACATATAACAATTACTGTACAATGCTTCATTATTAATTATGTACAATCATGTATACTGTGCAGTCATCTCCCAAGTGCAGCACCTACTTGAGATTTTGAAAAAAAGCTTGCACCCACCTGAAAATTCATTTGCACCCACTTGAAAATGAGAAAAATCATGAAAAATAGGCATATTTTGACCAATTTTGGTCTGAATTGTGCAAATGAGAATTTTGCACCCACTTGAGAAAAAATCCTGTGAAGAACACTGCTGCATATAAAATTGTTATGTGGGAAAACATACCTCCAGAATGCTCTGTTCATAGCATTGCGCTTCTCTGGTCTGTTGAGTTCAACCTGAAGGACCCATTCCTTTGGTTTTGTGACTTTCAGAGTTTCAAACTTGTAATCTGCATCAGATGACATGCTTCTTGTGTGGATTAAAGCTGAGACCTGGCCTTAGAGAAGAAATATAATCAGAAATATTATCTGGTTCCTTATTGTTTGTTTTGTGTTGAACCTGGCATATACGATTTAATCAACATTGGTATAAGTTTGATCAAAATTGGCATTCTAGAATAATAAATTGGTATTTAGTGGCAAACTTTTGAGCCCACTCTAGGCGAAAGATGCATATCTGTTGTGACATCAGCCTGACATCCTCTTACATTGAGGTATGTTATTGAAACCAAGATGTCTCTTCATATATCAAAATCATTATTTCCACACATAGAGATTCAGTACAATCACATCTACATTTAATCTCGAAAACAGACCAGTCAAGCTGACACATAACTCAATATAAAAATGACTTTGTTCTATTTCTGGTTTTACCTTACATTCTCAAAAATTGAAGAATGCTGGGCAGATTGAATGCCCGTGTGGTAAAATGTGAAAGAGCAAAGTGGGGGATGTTTTGCACTAAGTCGTACATCTGTCTAATCAGAACACCATTGGGACTGGCTCAAAGTGTTTGGATTAGGAGGTGTTCAGATTTCAAGGTTGTTGCATCCGCAAGATTCCAGATTTTGAAGAAATATTAATGCATTATCACTTCAAATATTAATATTTCTATGGACTGCATAGCTTTATGGCACTTCAAAATCCAGTTCAAATGAATTAAGCCATGCTAGAAAGAGCCATTATGATTGAGACTAATTGACATTTTTTCAAAAGATTTGATATAATAAAAAATCAGTGTTAAATTGAAAAAAATTGAGGGCTTTGTATAAAAACCTTGTACCTTGTACTCACGTACATGGGTCGTGATACAGTCTTTGAAGGGTTCAATTTTTCACGTTTTAAAAGATTTTTCAATCTTTAAGTTAGTTGACACTAACTTAGATGTACTAATGCACCCACAGTATTTAGAGTCATAAAATAAAGCCAGAATCGTTAATTTGAGTTTTTTATTGTGACATTCAGAGGCTCATCCAATATCCAAAATCTACGCTAAATTAGTTTTAAATATGTTGGGGATTTGCTAAATGGAATTCTTTGTTTCATTTTATTTAAACAGCATGAGTAATGGCGATTTTAGTCTCAGGGACCGTAATTTCAGCCCAACACACGACAGCGTAATTGTAATTGCTTAAACTGTGGATGGTGACTCGCTATCTGGTTCCCAGTTGAATGATGGGGAGAGTAGTAACATAAAGACAAGGTTGTAATGCAATCAAAATATGGCAATATAGTGACACCTTTTAGACGACTTTCTGAAATTCCCCAGCAATAGTAACTCTTTATGTTCCCTACAGGTTTCACTGCACATGATGAGTGCAAAATACCACCCTCACCCTCCTAAATATGATGATGATAATGAAAATAACATAACTTATGTGTGATTTTTTTTGCTTTCAAATCCCTGGGATGTTTCAAATATGAGGTTTTACCATGGGCTCTACCACCTGATAGAGCCCATGGTTTTACAGTCCAGTTCAAGGTTCAGAAATCAGACTGTCTATTATCGCCCACCAAAAATATTACACAACTTTCAAATTATTTCTTCTAAAAAGATACAAAATATATGCTACATTGTTTAGTATGAAAATATGACAGATAAACTAATAAACGATTCCGACTACTTACCCTGCTTTAAAACACTGAACAATCGTGTTGGAATTAGCTTTACGAGGGACATATTTAAAAGTAATTTTTTTAGAAACAGTGGCGTAACCAGGCAGCTGTTTTTGGCGAAGTTTTAAAACGTTCTGTATATATATTGTATCAATTCAACTATAATCATGCCGAGCATCGTAACCTCCGTAAGTTATATTATATCCTTTGTTTCCAACAATATACTGGCGAGATTTGAACTTTATTTGACGTGGATTTATGGCGAAAATGATAGTAATATGTTCCATCCATTTGTACTCAAACCCGGAAGTACATGTATGCATTGTACGTTCATTCCACATGCTATCTGTTGCAAGACTAACGCCTAGTGTAACCGTCACCATGTTATTCGGTGTTTTTTAAGTAGCGCAAGGATCCTGCTATGACCGTGGCAGTGTTATTTTGTAAGCCTGGTATAACCGTGACAATGCTGTATTATATTGCAAGGCCTGTCATGACCGTGGTAATGTTAAAGCCTAATATGACCGTGACAATGCTTATAAGGCCTGTCATGACCGTGGTAACGTTAAAGCCTGATATGACCGTTACAATGCTTGCAAGGCCTGTCATGACCGTGACAATGCTATATTATATTGCAAGGCCTGTCATGACCGTGGTAATGTTAAAGCCCCGTATGACCGTGACAATAGTTGCAAGGCCTCTCATGACCGTGGTTGTATTTAAAGTAGCATGGGAACACTGTAATGACAATTTTTCTTCGTGTTTAACTACCTTAAATATGTAAATAAAGACTACTAAAAATGTGTATAATTTCACAACGAAAACCTAATTTTTACTCATAAATAATTTGCGAACAAACTATATCTCTACTCTCATTCAAGGAGCTTCGATTCGAAAGCATATACTTTCTATAATGATCAATAAATAAGATTTATCCATAAAAAATACCAACAGCAACGGGCGAAACATGAAGGTCATTAATGTCATATAAAGGTCGCGCCAGGCTTACACGATTACACTAGCACGGTCATGGCAGGCATTTAATATAATACAGCATTGTCGCGGTTATACCAGGCTTTCACGATAACATTACCACGGTCATGGCAGGATCCTTGTGCTACTTAAAAAACACCGAATAACATGGTGACGGTTACGCCAGGCGTTAGTCTTGCAACAGATAGGGTCTCGTTCATTCATGTATACCTGTATACCATTTCTTCTAAAGTTCCTCTATTATCCAGATCTTGGTATAAGGTCTTAGTAAGTGAGAAAAGGAAGAGGGTTTGTTTCTTGGGGGTGTCATCTCGTTGGTACTTTAGGTTGTGGAAGTGTTTATCAATTTGGGCCTTGAACTGGTTGACATTGTCAGGATCTATTGCAGTCTGTGGGAGATTGTTCCAGTCCTTCACAATTTTATTTCGCAAAACATTCTTCCTGACATATACATGTAGTTTCCAGATTTTACAAGGAGGATTGGAGGCCATTTTTAAAACTTGAAACTCCGTTGCCTGGCGTCATGGGCTTTCAATTAGAATATAGCCACCGGACTCGGTCAGTTAATGGGGTCAATGCTTAACCATGATCAATATTTTAAAATTAAACCTTTCGACCGGCCACAGTTCAGAATGACCTAGCAGTGAATAACTATAACTATAACTAAACCCATAATGGCGTACAGCATGTAAATTTACTTCATTGTCACCAGTTGAACCTAAAAAATAAGAAATGTAAAGACCAAAGTGCAATAATATATGGAAGAACATATTCATTATGTACATGAATGACATTTGTATATCTCGGATTGCCTCTTAATTGGCTTATAAAGTCTGTAGCCTCTTATATTTTGATGATTCTGAAAAAAATATGAAAAATTAACATGGCTGATCTCAAATTATAAGAGGGCACAGACTTATTGCACTAAGAACTAAAATATAATAATCTGAAATAAACAAATGTCATTAATGCACAGTATGAATATGTTTTTCCATATATCATTGTGCGCTTGACACTCGCATTTTTTATCTAGTGCCGAAATAGCTACCTGTATTTGCTTCCCTCTGGTAGTTGTGTATTTAAAGAAATTATAAAATAAAAATAACATATTCCCATCAAATAATGTTTATCTTGTTTGAATTTGCAAATGTATTTTAGACTTACCAGTGTAACTTATACAGTAATGCGCGGCTGTGCACATATATGAAAATAAATTGACTGACTGGGTTAAAATTCATACCACCATAAAATACTATATTCTCTCAAATTAATGCATAACTTCAAACATTCATGAATTCAGTTCACTTTATAATGGCTAAGCTCTAAATTTCCCAAGACGATAGCTTTTGAAACCTTGGCCCAGGGGGGGGGGGAGATTTCCCAAAGATGACAGTAGTATTCAGCACGTTCGATGACCAATTTTATAAACAGTCCTCATTTGCCATTGTAATGGATCTCACAATGTTCGCTGTTGTTTTATGAGTATTCTCTACAAGTTTGGATAGAGTAACTTCAATAGTATTACCGTAGTTTTGAAATGATGATGTTGAAATGATGTTAAACTGAAATAAAACCATTTCCACGATTTCAAATTTTACTTTATGCATGCGCAGCACTGAATGAGCACGTGCTCATGATTGTTCAAATCCTGCAATTTGATTGGACGTCATATAGCCTAATGGGGAATCCCAGAATACAATAGAATATGGAAGAATTGTGGGAGCTACTCACTTCTTCTGCCCTTGGCCAATCAATATTTAATCTACAAGTACAGGGCCAGAGGTATTCTCATGTAAGTTGAACTATGTAAAGTGGAATAGCAATACTATACACTTTATATAGACTTTCTAAGAGTGAGGGTGGCCAAAATTAAACTTATAGGTGGCAATTCTTTGATAAGGTTGTTATTTAGGGCATTCCCATACCAGATCCTAAAATTTAGGTCCAATACCATATCAAATGTTAAATAAGATACCTCACATGCGCTGAGGATCCCCACCAAGGTTTATATACAGTGAAACCCTGGGGAATCACCCCCTCCCCCATTATCTGTGTATATGAGTATATTTTCCTTGGTACATAGAGAATGGAAGGGGGGGGGGGGTTCTTTCGAGATAACTCTGTCCCTGTGCCTTTGCCCATCAACATGTACATGTAGTATCTGTATAGTACCAACATGTATGTTATTGTCTGAACTATGAAATAATAAATGACTACTTTCAGATTGAAAATAAAGAGGAGGAAATATCAGGTGTTGAGAAACGATTGGATAGGATTGAAAGATCTCTGAGGTTGGAGACATTGACGGATGAAGAAAGGTACAAATATTAAGTCCTTCAGATTTTAAAATTCAAAACAAAAATAGAAAATTTGTTCAGAAATAAATCTATTTTATTTAAATATATCATCTTTTATTTGCATTTCAGAAATGATCTGATAAAAGAAGAGAAAGACCTAGAAAAGAAATTAAAATCTCACAGTGAGTGCAGTCGTGTATTTCTTATTCTTTAAATCGCAATGTAAAAGGAGTGGTATCGATATGGTGAACTTTTTGAACACACGTTTCTCTTAGACCAGTTAGACTAAGTCATCAAAACATTTTGAAAATTTTACACATTGTCAATTTAATGGTCATCTTTTGGATGGTAACATTATAATTTGAATTAAATATATATTCCTTTCTCTATATTGAAAACACATCAGGCACTTTTGTCGTTCTTGGTATCATTATGTTCGGAATGAAATGAAACATCTATCCGAACCTCATTGGAACAAAACGACATGAACACAATGTGTTTAGGTGTCTCAATATTGTAGTTGTACAAAGGAAAGTTTTGTTGATTTTAAAAAAGTATCTTGTTAATGAAATAAAAGGTTTATCTTAATCTTAATTCTCTATTTTGGGGGTTTTGTTTTAAGTTTTTTCATACTTTTTGTTAAATCAACCAAAATTTTCTTTGTAAAACTATATAATAATATTGAGAGGTCTATGAAAATGTTGTATATGCTACTGTTTGCAAAAACATTTATATAAAATATATATATAATTTTTGCATGAAATTGTAGCCAATCAGTCAATATTACATAAAGGACCATGTTTTTTACAGAATGTTTTCAATAATTGGTTCAAGAGAAAAACATTGTTGAATTCAGTTCACCATATCTATACATGTACCTATCCTTTAGTAAATAGTGAATGTCAAACATTTGGAATAATTCTGAGGTTTTGGGCATGCTTAGATAAATTACATGGCAGCCATCTAGCTCTTCAAAGTGTGATATTTATCACTGCATATCTTGATTTTGATTTAATTTAATGTTTTCTTTTTTTCAGAAACAGAAATGAATGGACTTAGAAAAGAAAACTTTAAAAATATGATATTATCGGTATTAATCCTGATTATGATTTACATAACATATGACACTGTGAAGAACTATTGATATCAGATCATACATTTTCATTATTTATTCATACAAAGTCACGGATGAATGGGACCATTTATGGATGAATGAAACATAACTGTTACAAAATGAGAGTCATAATATAAGAATAATGCAGAGGAATTGAAGGATGCCACCATTTTACACTGTTTTGTTGATTTATGCAATGGAGCATGGCACTGAGTCATTCATGCAATTATTGTATGCATACAATTGTATGTATGAGCGTGAAAATATTCAATTTATTTTAATATTTTGTATGTATTTTAAACTGATAAATAAATATACTGAGTATGGCAGCATAGAAAAGTGAGAATTCAGCTTGTTTTAACCTACATGAACCATTTGGGGTTTCTAATCGTGTGCGTGATGTCACAAACTCACAATATAGAAAATTTCCCCCTTATCATAACCATTCGAGATTTCTAAAAAAAAATTTGCCTTTGAATGGCATAAAAGAATGAAATAGAAACTAAATAGTATTTTCTCTAAGACAAAAGGGCCAATTCCATGTAAATACAAGGTTTCATGATATACTGTACAATAAGAAAAATAAGAGGTTTCCAAAAATAATGAGAAATAATGTTCCTCATGGATTTGCTGCCAGATAGAGATAAAACAATACAAATACATATTGATACAAAACACCTTCATATCCATTTACATCTGGTATTATTATTTTGTATGTGGCAAGAATATATATTGTACAGATGCAATAAAACAAAGATTATTCAAACAAATACTATATACCAGGTTATTTTAGTACATAAATAAACATAATATGTTTAGTGGATAATGATATGACTTCCCTAAAATAAAAATAATACATGTAGGTAAAAACCTAAACTGAAAAAAGTATATGTTTATTTGCTGTAATAACCTGGCACACATTATTGTAAAAGTAACAAGGCATTAACATGACAAAATGTCACCACCTAGTTAGGTCATTGAAGGTCAAATGTCAAATCTTAAGTCAAATCTAAAGTCAGATTTGAACTTCTGAGAACACGTAGATGATTTTGAAAAAATTTTTTAGTCAATTTGAAGCAAGTTGAAAAAAGACTTTTTGACCTTGAGAAGGTCATTGAAGGTCAAATGTCAAATCTAAAGTCAGATTTGAACTTCTGAGAACTTGTAAAGTCAAATTTGAACTTCTGAAAAGATGTAGATGACTTGAAAAAAAAATTTGGTCAATTTGAAGCAAGTTGAAAACAGACCTTTTTGACCTTTTTTGACCTTGAGAAGGTCATTAAAGGTCAAATGTCAAATCTAAAGTCAGATTTGAATTTCTGAGAACATGTAGATGATTTTGAAAAAAAAAATTAGTCAATTTGAAGCAAGTTGAAAAAAGACCTTTTTGACCTTTTTTGACCTTGAGAAGGTCATTGAAGGTCAAATGTCAAATCTAAAGTCAAATCTAAAGTCATATTTGAATTTCTGAGAACATGTAGATGATTTTGAAAAAAAAATTTAGTCAATTTGAAGCAAGATGAAAAAATACCTTTTTGACCTTTTTTGACATTGAGAAGGTCATTGAAGGTCAAATGTCAAATCTAAAGTCAGATTTGAATTTCTGAGAACATGTAGATGATTTTGAAAAAAAGATTTAGTCAATTTGAAGCGAGTTGAAAAAAGACCTTTTTGACCTTTTTTGACCTTGAGAAGGTCATTGAAGGTCAAATGTCAAATCTTAAGTCAAATCTTAAGTCAGATTTGAATTTCTGAGAACACGTAGATGATTTTGAAAAAAAAATTTAGTCAATTTGAAGCAAGTTGAAAACAGACCTTTTTGACCTTTTTTTGACCTTGAGAAGGTCATTGAAGGTCAAATGTCAAATCTTAAGTCAGATTTGAATTTCTGAGAACACGTAGATGATTTTGAAAAAAAAATTTAGTCAATTTGAAGCAAGTTGAAAACAGACCTTTTTGACCTTTTTTGACCTTGAGAAGTTCATTGAAGGTAAAATGTCAAATCTAAAGTCAGATTTGAAGGTCAAATGTCAAATCTAAAGTCAAATCTAAAGTCAGATTTGAATTTCTGAGAACATGTAGATGATTTTGAAAAATTTTTTAGTCAATGTGAAGCAAGTTGAAAAAAGACCTTTTTGACCTTGAGAAGGTCATTGAAGGTCAAATGTCTAATGTAAAGTCAGATTTGAACTTCTGAGAACATGTAGATGATTTAGAAAAAAATTGAAGTCAGTCTAAACAGTATTTGTTAAGTTATAGGAAGTTATAAGAAATTGTAACAGACACCGGACGCCGGACGCCAACCTCCAACCTCCAACCACCAACCACCAACCACCAACCGCCGTCGCAAAAAAACGGAGACCATAACAATATGTCACCACTTTTGGTGGTGACATAATAAAATCTGCAAGCAAAATAGTAATATACTTGCATTTATCGTATGATCTGTAAAATGAAGCCTTCTGATTGGTCAGTTCTTGTGCTGTACCAATCTATATAGCTACTGAGATTGTCCCCGTTGATCATCTCCGTCGCAATACAGAAAATATTGGTACGGAGGGGACAGTCTCAGTAGCAATACAGATAAAAACGATAAAAACGTTATTGAATGATTTGAAGTGCTATTCTGTCTCAATATTCTGTATTGGCACTCGACTTCGTCTCGTTCCAATACGGACTTTCTTGAACAGAATATATCCTGTATTGCACTTCAAATCATTCAATAACTTATAGTATCAATCAAAAATATACTCATCTCGGATCTGTGCATTTTGAGTGAACAAGCCACTATGTTACATTGTACAGTACATGTAATTGTATACAAATAGATTCAGGAATAAAACATATAGTGTTGTACATGTACAATATGTATTGGAGGTTTCTTACAATAAGTGAAACCAGTATTTAATAAAATAATGTTCACTGTTCATTTTTTGAAAAACATATTTAAAATAAAATACAATAATTTTTTTTTAAATATCACCTAATTTAAAAAAGTGTTTTCAATCTTACAACTTACACCGCTAAACAGATAATAGTTTTAATATTATTTCTAAACTTGGTTATGCTTTTTCCAAAGGGACAGCCATTGATTAATGTTTATAATTCATTTGACATTCTAAAACTTGACTTTTTGGAGTATTTTAGCTTCATATGAAAAAAAATTGCTTTTTACAACTGAAATTCTCGGTCTACCCCAACCATCCAAATATGTACATTAGTTTAAATATTAAGCAGGGGAACCAGATATACTTGATGCAAAACTAGAAGACTCTATCCTCAGAAATTTTAAGTTATGCTCAAAATTATTCTAGGGGGCAAATAATACGTTCATTATAGTTAACAATACCCTTGAAAATCATGACAGTACAGCGATTCTTGCACTGAATGAGACCGATGAGACCATAGGCATTGATGGATCAAGAAATTAACCAAAAGGCTCCACAATATCTTCTTTTAATTTCTTCCCATGCTTCCATAAGAAAAACATTTAAGCCATTTTTTCAAATATTAAAGCCCATTTTCCAAAAGGGGCTAACCTTTCCATGGATGGGGTTTGTAGAAAAAAACGGGTCGGGTACCGGGTATGAGCAATAGATTTGTGATGATTTGTTTTGAATTTACAAAAGATTTGTTTTGAATTTACAAAAAGATTTGTTTTGAATTTACAAAAATGTATGTAACTTCCTTAAAAAGTGAGCTAGAAGCTTCAAATAAAAAGCATTTTAAGGCTCTTTTCTTCCTCTATCACCATGTTTATATTTTCATTGCTTATGGGGGGAGGGATGAGACCCGGTTTTTTCTACAAACCCCCCATGGATGCTCTTTTACAATTTTCACATTGTATGGTTTTATGTAAATCATTTCAAAAGTAATGGTTGACACATGACTAAAACATGGGTTTTCAGTTTAATGCTCATGAAACACTAAAATGAATGTACTGGGTTTCGTTGCAAGAACCTCTGTTAGTGGCATTATTTTTTTAATCTAGAATGTACTACAGTGTACTACAAAAACGAAAAGTAAACAAAAAGTGAAAATAAAAAGCAATTATTAAAGATGGCAGCTTAGTAAAATGGCTATAGAAAATTTGGCTGTGTAATACACAGGACAGAACAACTTTGGTCAGTTAAGATCTACTTGGAAGATAATATACTTAGAGGTATTTCATAAAATGTACAGTAACTAAAACTAAATATCATATATAATACCCTCTTCATAACCAGCATAACAAAGTCAATCTGGTATAATGCCAATATAATTTTAGTGGTCAGAATGTAAATGAAATGTTTTGCACAGTGTACATATATCGAAATATCATAGCTTAGAGGTAGGGATTTCAAATTCCCTTTGAATAAAATCATTGATTATAACTGAGAAAATAAATACTATTTATTGCATTGCATTGATCGATAGAGACTGTCAATGGTCCAGTATTAAAAAACATAGGGAATGTTCCGCTCAGTACATCTGACTATTTCAATGGTCCGCCCTATTTTGAATTTGTTCAACAGTACCTATCTATAGAGAAATGATGGACAACAATGACCATATCAGTCTCTCAAGTTCACAATTACTGCTCCGAATAATAGTTTGTCTAAGATGTAACTTGTGCGCATGCGTGTATCACTACCAACAAAATACATGTATAAGTGTGTGATCTCACTAGATTTGTCCAGTTTAAGACTAGGAAGTACAACCTTGTAATATAGATGCCATATAAGTGTACACCTCTAATAAAGAATGTTAATCAGTCTTTAAGCCATTCACTTCTTGTTTTTTAGCATCTTCAACAGCTGTTATTTTCTTTAGCTCTGGTGCCCAATGTAGCTTTAGTGTATTTTTGATGACAATCTGCTCACCAAGTAGTGCTCCGATGTACCAGAAGAATGCATATTCTAGGGTAACTAAACCCATAAAGTGGTATTCGTACCAAGGTTCATAATCCCAGGGGCAAGCATCAAATTGTCGCAATAATAACCCAGTACTGAACTCCCATACATACGTCCACACCGTGTAAATCAATGCCCTAACTAGCATTGGAATCCTGTGACTTGTTCGTATATACAACTGTTCTTGGACTAGCATGGAAGACCCATAGATGAACAGGATCCAAATACTGGTGTAGCCTGTAAGTTTCCAGTTACGGTCTACTATGAAGTGCCATAAAGCAGTGAAGCAGACCTCACACACATAGCCATGGATGGCATACACATAGAGTCTTTGAAGTAGGGACAATGGTACTGACAGTGTCATTCTTGAATCTGAAAAGTGAGAATTTAATTGGTTAATGAAAACACAGAATGAAATCCTGTGCTAAGGGGTGATGTGAAAAACTCAGACCAACCTAGTGGGGATTAAACCCACAACCTCTGGCTTTCTGCGTGGATGCTCTACCACTGAGCTATTGGACCGACTGACTCCTACACATGAACACTACATATATGATATTGCTGCCTTTAATGCCTTACATGCCCAATTTCCTGGATCCCATATCAGTTTTACCTGTCTTTCCAGTTCGTCAATCACTCTATTTATGGTGTCACACAGAAAAATTATATATTTTAAGACACAGATTGTTACTTGATAAAAATTGTCTTGGGAGATACATGTTACTGATAACAGTGATTGGTCACCTGGAAAATCTAGCATTCTGATTGACTTTTTAAGTGACAGCTGAGCTGATCGAGCCCTTGGCATTTGAATAGAGAAGTGAAGTGCTAGGTACCAGAGACTAAGATGACTACCCTAAAACCTTGATGACTGGTTATAAACATGAGTAATGATGTTAACTTATCAAAGTGAGTTTACACTCGGTTTCTTCAGTTTCCGAGTACATTACGAATATTGCTGAAATTAGCTTACATTTGGTTTCTCCTATGTGAAGATTACCGGACCTAATGTTGATGGCGAACATTTTCAAATACTGGCCGATTTAAGATTGAAGTGTATTTCTCTGCAATTTGAGACAGCCGCAACTTTGAGGTAAGAAATATGTGCCGAGATTCAATGTTTCTTGACTTTTGAAATATAACCTGTGGTTCTATTTGATGCACGCAAGACCAGAATGTAGAGTGTTGGAACAGGATAAGGACTTCTTTTGTAGACAATGGCATGGCTGCCCCGCCTCTAGTGACTTTGACTATTGGACTATTGACTATACACATATTTCGAAGCAAATATGTGACGTATACGTAATTCACGTGAATAGTCTGAACGACGTTCGTTTTTTTAGCGTATCAGCATTTTATAAAAGCAAATTTTTTTAAATATCAGCATAATGCGTGATTTGCGTGACATTTTATCAAACACGCAAAATTGATGCATGATTTCATTTTTTCCAGCAAATGCGTGACAATCACGCCTAATGCGTGAGGGTTGACAGAGCAGATGCCCAGAGGCACATGAATGCACTTGAACAATGAATCTTTGTGAAAAAGTTAATTGATACGATGACAGAATTTCTACTTTTTGTTATCTAACTTATGAACTGGAAGAATGATAGAATGATCAATGAACTGAACATGCTGCATGTGAAAACAACAACAATGAAAAACCAACCTTGGGTCTTAGTTCAACACAAACAAAACACAATGAAAGCTTTGGCGAACTGATTATACTGAATGCATGACTCATATACTCACCTTAGCAGAAGGCTAGTGTGTTTTCATTTGGTTATAACCTCTGATAATGCGAAAACTAACAAACTACAAAATATTAACTCAAATTTTGTGTTTACAAAAGTACGGAGTGAATGAAAATTAATTAGGACGAATAATTAAATTACATAATGTCAAGTGTATAATATTTGTAATCATCCGTAGACCATTTTCAACCGATTTATTTCAGATGCATATATAATTATTTTATTATTGTTTAAGAGATTTGGTAATTAAAATGTATTCGGAGTGAATATTGAACCCAAATGACCTTTTCAAGAATCTTGGCGGAAGAAATTCAAAAGTCTCTCGCATTATTCACTGTAACTACTCCAATCACCGACAGACGTACTTTATATTACATTCAAAACATAGAAATAATATCATGGAATACAGAGATGTGAAATGTTGATTCAATTCATCGAGGAAAAATACTTGAAAATGGATCTGAACGTGGACAGAAATTCGCCACCATGAAAATTTGTGGTCACCTCACCTGTCTAAAACTAACCCTACTAATACAGGTGTGCTTTTATCTTATTACTTTACAGGTAAGTCAATACATTATTTTTTACTGTTGTCAGGATGATATTGTGGAATGTAACAATTATTAAATAGTTACCATTGCATTTCAGGATAACACTTAGGTGAAGTACACCTTTGAAGTTGAAAGTGGGAGTGGCATTTCGTTTTTAGAGATCCTAAATTTTTTTTTATACTTAGATATTAAAACTAGAAACTTGAAAGGATAAGTTTAGATTTATAATTGTCATGCCGTCTATTTTACTCCTGGCTGGTTTTTAATGTTCAAGTTAGATTTTGGACAAAATTGAAATTAATTTGGCATTTGAATATCATTTTATGATTTTTGATGGCCTATTGAGATTACAGTCATGTGGAAGGGAATGAATCAATAAATGAATCGCTCTAGATGAAGATAATCGGTCCTTATAATCTCATATTAGGATTAACCCCACATGAATTTACTATTAATATCATTCAATATGTATATGTACATGTATGTTACTATATTTCCACATAGCCATCTTTAGATGGATGTCATCTCTAAAGATGGCTATGTGCAAATATAGTAATATGTATGTACACATAGATCATAGATCAAAGGAGAAAAGAGATACTTATAATTTATGTATCATTTATTTGCGTCTAAAATAAGACAGTTACATATTATACAATAATTATATAAAATGAAATAAAGAAAGTAAATTAAAGGAACATCATTTCAATATAATATCATCAGCATGTAACCAGAACATATGATAATAATCCACTTAATCAAGTGATAATCTATCTGTATAGCAAAATATTCTATTTTATTCCTTTAGCACTCAATTAAAAACTGTATGATGAATAATCATTTGACAGTTTTTCAGTTCACTACCTACTGCTAAAAAGCTAGAAAATATTTTAATGGTCCTTTTGAAGAAGGACAAATTCAGAGTCCTAATTAGGTAGTTGAGAAAAATACTGCAGAAAACACTTGCATGTCAAAGCATTGAAGTAAGGAGCATTGAAGCAGGAAGCCAATACACAACATCGTGTATACTGTAATAGCTCAAGTAATGGGGTATCAGGAAGTGATATGACAACATAAAGACCAAATGCCCTTGTTTGCATGCTATTTTGTGGTATTAATCAAAATTCTCCAAAGATTTGTCATCCTTTTGTCATCAGATTATCTGTGGTTTAAATGTACTTTATTGCATGGTATATAGAGTTGACTGACAGTGTGGTTTTATCTAGTAATCAATTACACACATACTTTAATCTGAAGTATGCGTAATCAGACCCATGATTTGTAAAAATAAAATACCTTGAGTCAAAACTACAGGGCATACATTACCTACTTTTAATAGCCTTATCATGTGTTTGTTTAGTCTTGCTTCAAGTTCCCCCCTCCCAGCATCCCCAATTCAGGTAGTAGTTTGGGAAGAAAGGGTGGAACCGATTAATATTTTGTATTTACAATTATATTGGGTGTAGTTTGATTTGTTTGAAATATGATAAAAGCAAGGGCAATATAACATGTGTTTAATTACTGTAATTTTCTGAGCTATTGGGCCAGCTTAGATATAATTGGTCATGCGTGTATATTTGAATTATAACACATGAATTTTGTTGTATTACTATGAATTCGGTTTAATTTGGCATTATTTAAGCTGAATATTTGATTTGATGGATTTTTTCAAATGTCCCTTGAAATCCCATAGAATTAATATTGTCAACTAACTAGTAACTTTCTTATAGATGTTTATTTTGTCCAGAATCATTGAATATCCAAATGACAAAGACCACCAAGCAATTTACAGTATATGTTTAGACATATTTCATAGGCAGCTTGATCAAATTACTTGCAATTTACAGCTTTGCTAACCAAGAATCTATATAGAATTCACATGCCTATGTCTAAAATGTCTCTCAAATCATGCATATTCCCTGCTATTTCATGCTAAAATTTGAATGAATGGTCTCACTTTACAGCATTCATATGTAATATAAGACCTGTATTTTATATGATCATGTTCTCATTTATTCAAATATGATCTTTGGCCATATCTTGCATTTAACCATTACATTTCATTCATGGAATTTGTACAGTTTGTTACTTGAGTATCTTATCACAACAATTAAGTTAATTACCTTGATTACTACATGCCAGTTTTTAACATCTTTAGTGAAATTGATTTTATTATCAGTTTTTGGCATTTCTTCTCAAGTACAACTGTTTCGTTCCTATTTTTGATTTTTCAGATGTATAATTGAATGAATTATTACCAAGTGCTCAAATACAAAGTCTGTTTCATGGAGTCTGGTTTATCTCATTCTCTGAAGGTTGAAATATACAGAAACCCTTTGCTCTTAACAAAACATTTATTAATGGAATATCACTTGAATTGAGCGTCATTAATACCAGTTAAATTACCTTATATCTTAATCTTTAGCTTTACTTTTTTGAAACAGAATCAAATTATGTGAAAATCTGTCATAACTGATACCTGAAAACATGGTTGACAAACTGATGAATTAATTATGGGAATTAATTGTAATGGGTTAATCACATACTTATCTTAAATTCTGAAATGTGTGGAATGTTGGTTTACAAATGTAGCTTACAGAACATGTTGTGATAGTACCCTGCGTGCAGAGTCTAGTTAAACTACAAAGACGAAGCTCTCTTTTAAGAAGTGAAGTCAAACGAATGCAAAGGGTATTGTGATAGCAATACTATCATTACGTCAATGTAAATTCATTTGTAAATATCAAAGGGCTATAATGATTACTGTCAAATCTTTTTTGAAATTCCATTGCCCATTTGTGCTTCTTTGATGGTCAAGCTGAGACCTGTGGAATGTGCACCTCAGAATGTGTTGTTTCCAACAGTGATATAAATTTGATGCAAGTACCCTGAGCCAAAACTGCCCTCTGAGTAAGATTGATCAAATTACAGTTTGGCATTGAACCAATGAAAGAGCATACCTAGATTGAAACAGATGTTAATCATTCAGAGTAGATAGCAGATGAAATTGATCACTCTTGTTGAAGAAGAGTATGCAAGACTGCATGGGATTATATAATGTTAGTTATGCACTCTGATCTGAAACTCTAGCTTCTTTCTACTGTTCTACTGGTATGGGGCTAAGAGACTTGTAGTTCCCCTCAATATAAACCTAAATATTTTCCTGTTTTCCGGCTTTATATTTGTCCGAGATCGTAGTTTTGTTGTTTTTCATTTTTCTAATGTTGCCATTTGTGCTTTCATTTATAATGACCAATTCCTGAGGAGTAGTAGACTGTAGATTGCACCTGATTGTCAGAGTCTAATATATGATGGAGCTCTTTTAAGAAGTGAAATAAAACTATTAGAAAGGGTTGTCAGTGTTATTCATTCTGATACTCATAGCATCTTTCGGTTTCACCTCAGGACTGAGAAGAAATGAGATGTCATGCTTTACCATGATGAGTGTTACTTGTTGGCTGAGGAAACTTTACCCATCAATTTTTAGAATTTGACCATATCATAAATGATTTTAGGAGTTTGGTGAAGAGGTCAGGAGTAATGTTCTTTGAAGTGGACATTCAGTTCATTGTAAGCAAAACATGTCATATTTCACTGTCAGTTGCTACTAGAGTTTATTTTCTTTGAAGATCTAGAGAATTGTTTCATCTAGGACAGTTGCCTAATTACTAATTAGTCTACCAGGAAAATTTTGTTATGGTTTGTCTTGTCTAAGGTTTCAAGAATCAATAGCTTTACTATATATGCCAAGTATGCTTGGGCTTTAGATTTAACTTTTTAAAAACTCTAACCTTGTAGAAAAATAAATACTTTTGATAGATATTAAAATGTTGAAAAATATAATTACAACTTGGAGAAGAGTATTCACCATTGAAAGTTCATTCTTCTGATCTCCAGCATTAGAGCACCCAGGTCCCAGGAGCTGCACCCTATTAAAATTAGAAAATTACATGTCTTCAAAATATGTAAAGCATCCTGCTAAAAGTGTAAAATATTGAGTATTTTGTCCAAAACAGATATGATCGGGAATCAACATCTTGTATAGAAATATGGGGAAGGCATAAGACTTCGTACATACATTGTATATTAAACCCCAGTATTAAATACAATGTAGTATATCAAGACTGTTATTTTTGAAAATATCTCTCCTATAATGAAACATTTTTCACTCCTTTTAAAAGCATCATGTCCTTTGTTTATGTTGGGGTTGGGAAGGGATTTACTGTAAGTTCACCATACTGATACTATTTAGTAACAGTTTTTCCTGACCACACATTGGGTTTATGTTACCTTAAAAATAAATAGTTGTCTGATATGAAACATAAGACTTGTTGCAAACTTATCCTGATTTTGATGTGAGGATTTTAACCTGTAACTGAGGTGAAGTCTTGAAAACAACAATTTCAGATACAAAAACATGAGGTGTGGAACACAATTGGTAAATATGAAGTCAGTCTAATGCATAGCTACAAGAATTCTCAAGTAATGTGAGTCTATATAGAAATATGGGGAAGGCATAACACTTTGCACATACATTGTATATTAAACCCCAGTATTACTATGTACATGTTTTAAATGAGTTTATATAACATATATGTTCTCCACAGGATTTTTCCCCAAGTGGGTGCAAAATTCTCATTTTTTTACAATTCAGACTGAAATTGGTCAAAAT